TTACTGCAGATATGAAAAAGCAGTTTGGGCCCGTAATTTCTGCAGGTTTGAATAAGCAGTTAGTGCAGTTATACTGCAGGTTGAAAAAAGCAGTTTGTGCAGTATATAATGAGGTATGAAAAAGCATTTGTGCAGTTATACTCAGGTTTGGGTAAGCAGTTAATGCAGATATACTCAGGGATGAATAAAACGTCCCCCTGCAGTTTTCATTTTGTTAATTGCATTTCCAAAGTTACAAAAATGACACATCATTTCAAGTTAGACTTTAAAATTAAATCACCTAAAAAAAATGGTTTTGCTCCACCCAAAAACTAAAAAAATTTCCAAAATTGACTAAAAGATTTCACAAATTTGTTTGGGGGTTGAAAGGGCGAAAACCCCCTCTTCACTTTTTTGAGGCTTGGGAAAATGGGAAAAATTTAAAAAACAAAATGAATAAATTTTCTAAATTTCAGTTTAAACTTTTAGACGCTTACTTTACATTACAGTATTCATTCATACGTAATAAATGAGTTATACTACTCGGCTATTTGTGGGTTTCAGGGGTTGAGTTATGGGTTTACCCCGCCTCTTCCCCCGACTGGGTTTCTAAAGGGCCTTCTCCCTCTCCATGAGGGTTTATCAAACCCCGTCTTTTAAAAAATGTAAGTTTCCCGCCCCCACTACGTCACTTTCTAGGGCTATTCCAAAATGCCCGACAACTCTAAAGACTGAAAGGGAAAAACTTTCCCAAAATCCTCTGATCGTCCCAGTCTTCAACTTCCAATTGTGACCCTTGGGTTTTTGTGGCCCATTTTCTGGGAAAATCCTGTCTTTGCCCACCTTGGGGCTATTCCCCTGCAGTATTTTAGTTATGTCTCCCCTGCCTTTTCCCGTTTGTATGTGCACATTTCTTGTGTGTACATACTCCAAGTAGGGCTGGACAAAATGCAAGATTGGTCATGGGAAGTGGTTACTTAAATTCAAACCCCCTTTAAAAATTAAAGGGAAAAAAGGGTTGAGGAAGAACCCATAGACCAGGTACAGGATTTTAGACTGGGGGAAGGGGGGGTTTTAAAACCCCCCACCAAAAAAAAAACCCGGGATGGGGACAGCCCCCTGATACAGTATACCCAGAGGTCCCCTCATCTGAAACCAAAACTCAACTGGCAAATCTAGGGGTAACCCTTTAGGAATCTCAACAGTGTTTTTTGCAAGCCCCTTTTTATTTTCAGGGAAAAATATTGATATGAATATTAGGGAGTTTAAATTTTTTGTTTGGAGATTAGGGGGGTTTGGGTTTGGGGATACTACAAATTTTATCCAGAGGGTGGGGGAAGGGGGGTTTCTGAGGAGGTTTTGGACAATTTGAGAGGATGAAGTACAATTGGATGATTTGGGGGGTGTATAAATTTTATTTTTTGGGGGGAAGGCGAGGCCAAAAAGTCTCCTAGGAAAGGTTTTTAGGGGGTAAAGGGGTTTGTATATGAGGGGCCCTTTGGCATCCAACGGCAAAGTATTTAGCGTGTTAGACAGTGGGGTGAAGGCAAGTGATTTTTATGACTTTTAATACTGTTGGAGCGTAGCAAGATTAAAAATTATGAAGGAAATTTAAAGGGGAAAACCTTAGCCAAAAATGGAGTCCGGAGGGGGATGTAAAAGTTGCCTGCAATTTTGAAAAGGTGGGGGTTTCTTTCACTTTAGAAAAACATTGGGGCTTCAATGTCAGCATTTCCTCTAGCAAGACGTAATGGGATGTGTGATAGTAAAAAATTTTTCTATTTTTCGGGGGGAAAACCCCACTGGGTGGGGGGGCTGAGGTATGTTAAATTTTTTTTTTAATTTATGGCCTGTCAAAAACATGAAATTTTGGGGCACCTTCTTGGGGCAGGTGGTTTGGGTTTTCAATAATATGACCAATTTGCTCGAAAATTGAGAATTTTTAGATAAAAATTTATTTCATTTATGGATTTAGAAAAAGGGTATGATAGGGGGGAAAAGGGGATCAATTTTGGAGAATTGCAAGTGTTTTTGGGTTTTTGGGACTGTAGTAAACCCATAGTTTTATGGAATAGGGTTTTAAAAAGTTAATAAATGCTGGGAAAAAAGTTTTTATTAGGATAGTAAGGCTCAGGGTTTGGGAGGGGTAGGAGATAGTTACTTCTTAGTAAAAGTAGGCCTTAGACAAGGATGTGTAATGTCACCATGGTTGTTTACCTTTTTTTAAGATAGAGTTGTAAAGAAGTAAATGCTAGGGTGTTAGGGAGAGGGTGGGATTAAAGTATGGGGAATCAAATACAAAATGGAAGTTGTCGCAGTTACTTTTTTGCTGATAATACTGTACTTTTGGGAGATTCTAAAGAGAGTTGCAAAGGTTAGTGGACAAATTTGGGAGGGTGTGTAAAGAAAGTTGAAAGTGAACATAGATAAGGGTAAGATGATGAGGGTATCAAACAAGTTAGGTAAAAAAAACTGGATATCACACTGGAGAGAGGGAGTATGGAAGAAATGAATGTGTTCAGATATTTAGGAGTAGATTTGTCAGCAGATAGGTTTCTGAAAGACAAGGTTAATCATAGAATTGATGAAGGAAAAAAGGTGACTGGTGTGTTGAGGTATCTGTGGAGACAAACAACCTTATCCATGGAGGCAAAGAAGGGAATGTGCGAGAGTATAGTGGTACCAATACTCTTATATGGGTGTGAAGCATGGGTTGTAAATGCTGCAGCGAGGTGGTGGCTGGAGGCAGTGGGATGTCGTGTCAAAGGGGCAATGTGTGGTGTAAATATTATGCAGAGAATTGGAAATGTGGAAATTAGGTGTGGAGTTCCTGAAAGTATTAGTCAGGGGGCTGAAGAGGGGCTGTTGAGGTGGTTTGGTCATTTAGAGAATGGAACATAGTAGAATGACTTGGAGAGAGTATAAATCTGTTGGGGAAGGAAGGCTAGGTAGAGGTTGTCCCCAAAAAGGATGGAGGGAGAGGGGTAAAGGAGGTTTTGTGGGTAAGGGGCTTAGACTTCCAACAAGTGTATGTGAGCATGTTAGATACGAGTGAATGGAGACAAATGGTTTTTGGGACCGATGAGCTGTTGGAGAGTGAGTAGGGTAATATTTGTGAAGGAATTTGGGCAAATCGGTTAGCCAGACTCAAGTCCTGGAAATGGGAAATACAATGCCTGCACTTTGAAGGAGGGGTTTAGGATACTGGCAGTTTGGAGGGACTTCTAAACTGTCGTACCTCAGCGCCTCTGCAAAGAGTGATTATGTATGAGTGATGGTGAAAGTGTTCAATGATGAAAGTTTTTTCTTTCTTTTTGGGTCGCCGTGCCTCGGTAAGAAAAAGCCAGGACGTGCTAAAAAAACGAAGAAATATACACACACCTTTCTGGGTTTTTCTCTATTTTCTTACTAGTTCTTGCTCATTTCCTCTTATCACCATGGGGAAATGAAACAGAAATCTTTCTTCATAAGCCATGCATGTCGTAAGAGGCGACTAAAATGCTGGGAGAAGGGGCTAGTAACCCCTTCTCCTGTATACATTTTCTAAATTTAAGGACTGAAACATTCATTTTTCTTTTTAGGTCACCCTGCCTCAGTGGGATACGGACAGTTCATTGAAAAAAAAAAATCTAAGCTATACATATAAAAAATAAAGTTATTGACCAGTTTTAAAGATGTGCAAAAGGTTGTCAAAGTTAAAAATGTTAAAAAATTGGCAGAAGCAAAAACAATTTTGTAGAGTGCATTTTTGTAACCAGTTCCAGTGTCAGAAACAGGTCACTGAGTAATATATTACTTCCCATAAAGGCCACATATGTATGGGGTGTACCAAGCTATTTGTAGATAACCAAAAGTACTCTTGAGATATTGTCGTTGTTCCCTGTAAGGTCTATTTCCAGTCTGAAATTCCAAAGGAAAAAAAACTCCTGTTGTGTTTTTATTTTACCATCAGAGAAACCATTGCTTTTCCAGTACACCTTTGGGTACATGCGTTTCCCCAGTCATCTTCTCCGCAACTGTATATTTCTCAACTGCAACATCCTACCTAATCAATTTAAAAAAAAAAATAAATAAATAAAATTTAAAAAAAAAAAAAAAAAAAAAAAAAAAAAAGCAAAAACTTACAAATTGACATCGATACCCT